CAAATTGCCCGAAACCTCAATTCCCAATGAGAAATTTGTGATCTGTATATGAGTGCTTGCAGAATGATTTCCACATACCTAAAACAATGTANAATGTTCTTAAAATGTTTTACTAATAATTTAGAAGTATGTAAGTTTTTTACTAAAAATTTATTTTTAATTTATTTTAATCATCCAGCAAAAAAATGTTATTTGTTGGTTACAACACAAGTTAATGATTTCCCATAGAAGTTTCAGGAATACACATATACAAAACTAAAATTCAAATTGTTAGCTAAACATAAACCCCAGTTGCTGGAATATGTTTTGAACCGTTATCTGGACTATGGTCTATGACAGTGTTTGTCAACTCATGCCACCACATGCTTATGTATCAAAAGAGTGCGTTGAATGTGTTGTGGAAATATTAAATATTTTTTTAGAATTGGGATATTCATCACTAAACAACATTAAAAGCAAAAAAATGTGAAAGGCTACTTTTTAACTCCTGCCAGTGGGCATTAAGAGTATTTTTTCCTCCTGTCCATAACAAGTCAGCCCAGGCCCACAATAAGACTACCATATGGTAAGGCAGTGATTCTCAACCTTTTTTTCATCATGGTAGACTTTTAATAATTTAAAAATTTGTCAGCACACACGGACAATTTGGTAAGTACTGCAGGACAACTGGTGACGTCGTAACAGTGATTTTTAAACGCAGTTAGTTATTTAGGTCACACTTTCTAAATGCCTTGGTAACACCGGTTTAAATTTCCAAACGTGCCCTAGGAAGGTAGAACCAATTGAACTATCTGATGTTGCTTATGTATGGGTATTTGCAGTTGCAGTACACTAAAGTGCTTCAGCACAGTGGTTAAGAATAACTGTGGTAAGGGAAGGGGATATGGATAAACTTCCTAGAAAAATTTCCTGGGATTTTTTACCCAGATATAATCCCAAGTTTCCATACTGTGTATTGTAACAACCAGAGATGCCACCAAAACTAGTTGAGATTAGCCATTATTTTAAGGGAACTGAGTCAAAAAAGTTTGTGGACCATTGCCTTGGAGCTGTGCTTCTCAAATTGTGGTGTGAATACTCGGGGAGGTACATGGAGGAAAAGTTAGGAGTACAAGATCCAAAGTGGTTAATGACTGTCCCATTTTTTTTATGGGTGATCAACCATCACCAGAGAGGAGTCATCAAATTATGACAATATTGATGACAAGCAAGTAGGTCTGTCCAATCTTTTTTTTGAATTTATCTGGGCTCAACCCACAAGAAATGCATGTGAGAGCAATAGTAGGAGGAATGACGAAAGTGGGGAGAATGACCTGGTTGTTTTTCTTGTGGCCAGCCTGACTACAGCAGAAGAATAGGTGGATTATGGATGTTCTTCCAGTACATTCCCAGGCCTGTGATAATCTACAGTCACACACAATCTCAACAGCAGCATAGCCTCACAGTCATATATATGGCTGTGATGCTTATATAAATAGGCTTATGATGATGCTTATATAAATAGGCTACTGCTAATGATTCTTGTAGATGCTATCTTCATTCACTTTCTTTCACATATGTTATAGAGTGACAACTATCACTCTATAACATATGATGATGACAATTTTAGTTTTTTCTAGTTGTGATTTGTGAATTTGATATGATGTGTGGAATAATTTCATGTGTATACAACATAGGAATTTTTGCATCTGTAAGATGGATAGATGGCTGAAAACCAGATCCTTAATGTTGAAGGAAGATGGCAGTGCAAAACAATCAACAGGTAACATATAGTAATTGCAGTGCTCATATTTCTTTATGAATTCTATTCATTTGTTTCTCATTGATATCACAGGTCTGCAAGTAAAAAACTGCATAGGATTTTTATACATTTTCTTACAGATTTCAACTTGGTAAAAACGAAAAAAATACCAAAAAATTCCGTCTCGTCATTTTTTTTGTTACACTCAAGTTTTTGTATTTAGCGTAAAATTCCTAGTTAAGAACACATATACAGTAAATTTAAAATTACTACTGAGCTAACGTGGCAAATTCCGGCCTTATAGAAACGGCCTAAATGCACGCGAGGGGAAAGAATGCCTTCCGGGAGGACTTTTATGGAAAGCTAGCCCCTATTCAGGCGTCATCGACATGGAGAAAACCCGGAAAACTCCATGCTGCCAGCCCGTCCGACCGAGGTGCGAACCCACGACCGAACTCCCAGTGTTCAGGGTCTAGTCCACTCAAGTGCAGGGACGAAAGACTGCTCGGCCACTGGTGAGCCAACATCAGTAGGAAATTAACTATCCGGAGCGGGAGAAACGATTTTACGGACCAATTTATTACGTCATTGGTCAAATCGTTATGTTTTGCATTTTATTGTATTTAATTTTTACTTGAAAATAATTAAATTTAAATCAAATCTTTATAATCTATATATATATAAAATTACATGTCTTGACTGACTGACAGAGTTGTCATTCCTAGTCGGTGCCGGCCCGAGGCAAGTTTTAGGATGGAGCGAGATCCTATTATGGCGCCCCCCTTAATTGCCCCTAATTTATACCCTTTAATTTTCTTTACCACTGAGGCGCCCCCTCGGACTTAGCGCCTGGAGCGGTTGCTCCGTTCGCCCTATGGTAGGGCCGGCTCTGTTCCTAGTACATTTGTACTTTTCGGGTTCATTTTGCCCTTTCGAGTATATTGATAGTACACTTAGATTTTTAGTATATTTTGAGTACATTATAATATTTCAGTACAAAATAATATTTCATGCCTTCACGAAAAAATGCAAAAAATTAGTTTAATAAAGTCTCACTAGTGTCACTGCTTGCTAATTTGATTTACCCAATCACAACATACACATATTCTATGTCGGTCGATATCAACATCATACAGATACTGTAGTTGCACGTGCAAATGTTATGACTCAGTCCTCTTTCACACATGTCACATTCTCACGAGGACCTTGACAAAATTTTTCACGCCACGTGATCCAAACAATTCAACTCTGTCAAACAAAAATATTGGACAGATAAAGAAATCAATGATTTTAAAACTTTTTTCATCAATAATATCAAAATAGCCGTTAAGTCAGAGTCGAATTATTAAACAAAATAGTTTTGAAATTGTACAGTACAAATAATATAATTACTTTTATATTATTTTCCACCACTGTAATGTAATTCTTAATTATGAACTTCAATTTTGGTAATCTTCGTAAAAGAAATAACTTTTTTTAATTTGAATCTGTCCACGCATATTTAATTTATAATTTTTTTTATCCATTACTATAATATTTTTAAAAAATCAACTTTTAATGCTGTATTTAACAAAAAACCATAGAAACTATTTTCATAAAATCTTTTTATGAAATATTTAAAGTATTCATATTTAACAAAGTATTCATGAATATGAATTTGAAATAAGCACAAAAATTGAGTGTGATGGTATATTAATATTAAAAGTAACCAACCATAGAAATAGTACATTTTGAAGGAAAATAGTACATTTTTTGAAGGAGCTTCAGTGCGTTTTGAAATTTTATTGTGGCAACTCTGCTGACTGATTGATTCATCATCCAGAGTAAACCGCTAAACCTAAAGAAGTGAAATTTGGTACATAGAGTACATCATGAAAATGCACTAAGAAGGGACTTTTGGAAATTCCCCCCGTGGGGAGGGAAAGGATTAAGGCTTAACCTGAAGAACAGCTTCTACTGTGCTATTTTAGATGCGAATTTTTGTTTTTGATAGTAATAACTTAATTTCCAAAACGTAGAATATTTACCAAATCATCGAAATCGTTTGCCGGAGCAACGCCGGGCTTATTTGCTAGTTAACTAATAAAAATGGAATTCTTTTGGTTGTTAGCATGTAGTGTGTTTCTTTATGTACTGGAAAGTTTTTCCAATGTAAATTCGTTATATCCATTTTTTGATTCTCGCTATTAATTTTAAGTACAACTTTTTATAAAGAAATTTTACATAAAAATATTCGGGTACCCAGTGGTATCTCTTATAAAAGAAATCGTAGCGCGATATTTTAAAAAAGAGTAAGGTCGGAGTCGGAATCGGGCTCTTCGTTTACCGACTCCACCAGACTGGTTATTGCTATCAACAGATTAATGTTTCCGAAGATAAAGAGTGGAAAAGCACAGTTTACTGACTCTTAAGGCAAAAAACCGTGCTCTTCTAACTTTTGACATTTTGAATATGAAAATTATTAATTGCTACTCGCTATGGTGAATATTCCGGTTTGCATGTACTATACAGCGTTTTTCAAAAGTAGTGTACAGTACTAGATACTTCTTTGTAAAGTTTTGCTCTGTATATTCAGAAAATATCAAACTAAAATGTTAATTATTACAGTAATAACATTAATAAAATGTTTTAAACGCATCTTAATGTTTTTCTGTTAATTGCAAATGCTTGCCTGTCTACGCAATCATTTGGAACTTGGAGTGGAGCACAGATTTACGTGGAATCTTAATTTATGTGGTATCTACCAAAGGCCTTTATTTCATTTGTTAAACACGATTTTATACAAATTGAGAAAATAACAATGAATATGAAATTTTCGCTATGAAACATTATGATGAAATCTAGATCGCAAACTTGTATAATTTTATACAGTCGACCTCCCTATAACAGTAGATACGTTCTGTTCTTTATGAAATTGATGTTCTAAGAGTCCTTAAATACACGAGCCAATCATAGCCCGGCACGTGTGCAGTTTATGGACTACGGCTGTTTGAAAGGTTTTTGTAATATATGGTGATGATTTAGATAAACATTAAATGTAAGATAATATATGTTGACGATTTAAACAAAGGAAATGTAATCGGGTAGGTGCCGAGGTGGCGGGATGGAAAGCGAGGAGAGAGCTCGGAGTAACCAGCTGGATGTAGAAGTGTTTAGTTGTATTAATAAAGAGTTATTTGTACCATATTATCTGGTCAGTTGAGTCATTTATAATACATGGTGGCAGGGGTAGGACCACAAACCGCTGATACCAATTTTCATGTCGAAGGCTTTGGACAGTCTAACTCCAAGACTGCAACGAATGAAACTACGAATGGTGAGATACGATTATAGCATCGTGTACAAACAGGGAAAGCAGCTTATAATTGCAGATGCATTATCCCGTAGCCCCATACCCGAACAGGGAAATGAAGAATTGACCGACGAGATTGAGGCTTACGTTCAAAATATTATCGACACATTTCCTGCATCTGATAAACGGTTATCGGAAATCGTGTATTTACAAGAGAGAGATCCAATTTGCAAAACGTTGATGAGATATTGCGAAGAGGGTTGGCCGAAGAAAAACGAAATACCCGAGAAAATACGAAGATATTGGGAGCACAGAAACTCAATTACTCTCCAAAATAACATTTTATTTAAAGATTCCAGGATTATAATTCCAGAAAAGCTTCAAGGAGAAATATTGAACAGGTTACACGAAGGCCATCTTGGAATAACAAAGTGTCGAGCCCGAGCTCGAGAGTCTGTTTGGTGGCCAGGCTTATCGGCGAACATTGAGAAATTGATTGCGAACTGCTCAATATGCATCCAATACCAAAAGTATCATAAAGAGCCTCTTATCCCAAGCGAATTTCCTGAGAGACCTTGGCAAATTGTAGGGGTAGATCTTCTAAAACTAAAAAGCCATTGGTATCTCATAATGGCTGACTACTTTTCAAGATATTTTGAAGTTGCCAGATTGGAGGAATTGTCGTCGTCGTCAGTAATTAACCACATGAAATCAATTTTCGCAAGACATGGAATTCCAGAGGTTGTACGAAGTGACAATGGCACCCAATTTTCCCAGGTTGTCGACTCTGAATACCGTAAATTTGCAGAAAAGTATAAATTTTCAAGTATAACTTCTAGTCCGAGATACCCTCAAAGCAATGGATTCATTGAANTGATGATTTAGATAAACATTAAATGTAAGATAATATATGTTGACGATTTAAACAAAGGAAATGTAATCGGGTAGGTGCCGAGGTGGCGGGATGGAAAGCGAGGAGAGAGCTCGGAGTAACCAGCTGGATGTAGAAGTGTTTAGTTGTATTAATAAAGAGTTATTTGTACCATATTATCTGGTCAGTTGAGTCGTTTATAATACAGTTTTCTTCCATAAAATTAATCGATTCTAGACTAATTCGACTCAACATTTCCAAAATACGTATAATTTTTTGGGAATAATCCATATAAATTATGCTATAAACAAAAAATTGTAGGATTACTTACCGAGTGTGCACTGTTCGACAACGCCATTGCTTAAGCTTGTTTTCGTCGTGGGGCTTGTCATCGAATGGCGCTTGCGTGCTTTCTGATAATTTATTTTTTTTGCGAAAAATTCTCTTAACTTTGGAGACATCATTAATATAAATATAATTTTTAAGGACGTTAAATAATAAATGGTTTTTAGTAGGTCCGCTGCTCGTTTAAACTCAACGGTTTGTACAATATCCGCTATTGGTCTAGATTCGACCAATCCTGTCGCGACACAAGTCGGCGATGACGTTTTACCGAATTATACGAGTTTTTTCTAGTGTGTTTGTACGAATACTGTCGGAATTTTTTCGCTGTCATATAGGAATCCGAACTATATGAACCCGTGTAGGGGGGTCGACTGTCGACTTTTTAATTATATGATTTATTTAATATAAAATGGCCACATGGTCGGGTAAGATGACATCCCTCGCTCTGGGGCGCCTGGGATCAAATCCGAACGAGTCAAAAAGCTCCAGGAATTTTTCGGGCAGAGGTTTGGCCGGATATGTTGGGTCCCTCATCACCCGCCGCCCATTGCAGGCCCAATTGAATTCATAATGGCTTGCTAAAATGCCTTCTTGGTGCTCACAGCGTGGAAAGAGTTTAAAATAATAATATGGAAGAAAATTAATCTTAGCTCATAAGGAAATTGAAATTTAAATTGAGCGTGTTCAAATTAGTTAAAACAATAATTTTTTTAATTAATTAAATTTATTTTATTTTAATTTCATGTTTGTTCGATTATTTTTAATTAAAGAATTTTGTAATTGTTTATTTATAAATGATGTTCCTTGATCACATGCGATATTTTTAATTAATAATTGGCAACATTTATTTTTAAAACCAAAACGTAGAGATGATTTTTAAAAAATTGTTTATGCTGTAGACGTAAAATACTTTTGATTAAAAATTTTATAGAATGATCACGTGTCAGACGTAAACAAAGAAGTTTACACGTTATCGAGATTTAATTATAAGGACTGTCTATTATTATGAAAGTAAATTTAGAGGTAAGTTCAAAATAAAAATGAATAGAAAAGAGAGAATTTGATATTTTTAATTAATTCACTTGCTACTTATACAATTTTAGTACATAAATAATTTACACGAGAAGAAAAAAGAATGTTACATGTCAGAAATAAATTGGCTCTCTCAACAAGTATCAAAAGAAAATGAAAAATCATCGGATAAATTGTAAGCATTTACTGATTAACTCAAAATTAATTTAAATATATTCATTCTAAAATCTGTATTATTGGATTAAAAAAATAATAATAAGATAAAAGTTTACCATTTAATTTTTATGTAATTGATTTTAAAAATGTAATTTTTAAATTTCAGCAAAAAAAATAAAACTTATTTTTGGTGTTATTAACTATTTATGGCATTTTTATTAATATATCACATTATGCATTGGAAAATTAAAGAAATTTATATGTAGACATTAACGTTTAAACTCAACGGTTTGTACAATATCCGCTATTGGTCTAGATTCGACCAATCCTGTCGCGACACAAGTCGGCGATGACGTTTTACCGAATTATACGAGTTTTTTCTAGTGTGTTTGTACGAATACTGTCGGAATTTTTTCGCTGTCATATAGGAATCCGAACTATATGAACCCGTGTAGGGGGGTCGACTGTCGACTTTTTAATTATATGATTTATTTAATATAAAATGGCCACATGGTCGGGTAAGATGACATCCCTCGCTCTGGGGCGCCTGGGATCAAATCCGAACGAGTCAAAAAGCTCCAGGAATTTTTCGGGCAGAGGTTTGGCCGGATATGTTGGGTCCCTCATCACCCGCCGCCCATTGCAGGCCCAATTGAATTCATAATGGCTTGCTAAAATGCCTTCTTGGTGCTCACAGCGTGGAAAGAGTTTAAAATAATAATATGGAAGAAAATTAATCTTAGCTCATAAGGAAATTGAAATTTAAATTGAGCGTGTTCAAATTAGTTAAAACAATAATTTTTTTAATTAATTAAATTTATTTTATTTTAATTTCATGTTTGTTCGATTATTTTTAATTAAAGAATTTTGTAATTGTTTATTTATAAATGATGTTCCTTGATCACATGCGATATTTTTAATTAATAATTGGCAACATTTATTTTTAAAACCAAAACGTAGAGATGATTTTTAAAAAATTGTTTATGCTTGTAGACGTAAAATACTTTTGATTAAAAATTTTATAGAATGATCACGTGTCAGACGTAAACAAAGAAGTTTACACGTTATCGAGATTTAATTATAAGGACTGTCTATTATTATGAAAGTAAATTTAGAGGTAAGTTCAAAATAAAAATGAATAGAAAAGAGAGAATTTGATATTTTTAATTAATTCACTTGCTACTTATACAATTTTAGTACATAAATAATTTACACGAGAAGAAAAAAGAATGTTACATGTCAGAAATAAATTGGCTCTCTCAACAAGTATCAAAAGAAAATGAAAAATCATCGGATAAATTGTAAGCATTTACTGATTAACTCAAAATTAATTTAAATATATTCATTCTAAAATCTGTATTATTGGATTAAAAAAATAATAATAAGATAAAAGTTTACCATTTAATTTTTATGTAATTGATTTTAAAAATGTAATTTTTAAATTTCAGCAAAAAAAATAAAACTTATTTTTGGTGTTATTAACTATTTATGGCATTTTTATTAATATATCACATTATGCATTGGAAAATTAAAGAAATTTATATGTAGACATTAACGTTTAAACTCAACGGTTTAAACACATTACAACAATACATTAAATATTAAATATAAATATATTAAACATCCCAAAGCTCAACACATAGATACTCAACTAAATGATTGCCTTAAATAATCATTAATAATAGTGGGTTTATAACCCAATTATTCTTTTTATATTTTTAATTTTTTCATCTACATTAGGAATTGCCACTGGACAGCAGCTCTCCTCCCCCAATAAATAAAAAGATCTGTAACAAAAAAAAAGGTAAAATACATAAAAAGAAAATCAATTGACATAATAAAACATAAATGAAAATGAAATTGCAAAAATATATACATAAGTCAGAATACACAAAAAATGTTTGAAATATTAAATACATAGAGAAGAAGGTGGTATTATGGAACCCCAATTACATTTTAGTGAATTGTAAACAAGGTATCATAACTACACCCACATTTTTTGTGCGAAAAGGACTGGTAACTATTAAACTAAATGTTCCTAATTGGATTTTTCGCTAGTGTAACTATAAGTATGGTTTTTGAAGGGTTTTGTACAAAAAGTCCAAAAGTAGGCTTAGAGAAAATCGGATGGTAATATGGAACCTTACTGTATATTTTCAAAAAAATGCTTTAATGTAGCCAAAAAAAATAAGAAAGGACAAAAAATGATAAATAATTACTAAATTATTTACTCCAATGTATTTTATCGCAAAAATGCTTTTATAATAGAAAAATATGACCTCCATCAACAATATATATTCCAGCAGCTCTTTTTCGATATTCTCAGGAAGAATTGGCTTTCTACCTAGTGTCTTTTTCACAAATTGCTCTGGAGGAATGTCTGCTTGCAAATAGAAAGTTCGGAGGAGTTGAGTTCCATATTACTGTAAAAGCACCAATGGGGTCCGTATTTCACGCATCGCCATCTCGAATTAACTTATGTCTGTCGAGACCAAAATTTAAAAAACGTGAACATCACACAGATTAATATGTACCCCTAAGTCTCTGGAACGGAATACATGCACCAGTGAACCTACAACTACACGATTTATATTTTAAAAATAATTAAATTCACTTAGCATTCAAAACTTGCGAATTTTGAAAAAAACAAATTTGCTGATTAAATACGGACAACCGTTTAACTGAAGTAAAACGGGTTTTCCCCTTGCTATGGATGTCTGCCTAGTTCAGTTCAGCCACATTCCGCTACATTTCGCCTTTATTATCAATTCGAAATGGGGTGGTTCCATAATACCCGCAGTGTTCCATAATACCACCTTCTCCTCTATAATGCTGAAAGTAAAACATAAAATATAATATAATATAATTTAATAATAATATAATTTAGGGCGATTGTTTGGTTGAGTATTAAATATATAATTAAGGTGACTTGGAAAGAGTCACATTTTATTTAAATACCATTAACAAACAAAGTAATTAAAAACTATTTTAAAACATGTATTAATTGACAATAGAGCAGTGGTTGCCAACCTTTGTGACATTATGGACCACTAAACTCACAATTTTGAATCTCGCAGATTACTGTAAATTGATGACCAAGACAAAACCTTTCTCACTTGTTTCTAGCCGTTTATACATGAGTACTGTAAATCATGAATTTTTTAAATGATGCAAACATCTATAGAATAATGATTGTAAAAGTTCCATTTTACTTTATTGTACTTTATTAATATGAAATTCACTTATTTAATTATAACAAATTAGTGTGAAGTTTGTTGCTGCTTGTTTGAAATAAGTTTATGGATTCTTCGTTCTTTTTCACGAAGGACAATAGTCACACTCACAACATTATTTATTGTTGACCATCAGTGATCCATATATTTAATGATATAAATACAGTACTTGTAACCATCATGTTCTAATTTGTAATAATCTGAATTCTATCAATACTTGTATCTATATAAGTTTTTAAAAGTTTTGT